CAACCTTCCTTCCGAGGAGTGGCTGGTGGGTTTGAACCGCCAGCCTTCTGGTTAGCAATCAAGTGCTTTAGCCACTATGCTACCAGAGCTCCTGTCTATACAATTTAGATGTACAAATTCAAGAATAGTTTGAAATTTCTGCTTTCAACTATTGGTTTATAAAGGTACTACTCTGAGATGTGTCACATCCTTTATATAGTCTGTGACCAAATTATCTAGCAGAACAGTTTCTATGTCTAAATTTGTATATAACAAACATTCATCCAACCTGATTTTCTGGCTCTTTTTTTGGATCTATGTAGGGAACTGGCTCATTACATGTTCTTGCATTTGTGTTAATGAATTTAGCATAATATATACGTCCTCTCCTGACACATGCTTTTGAATCCTGTAAGATTTTTGCAGGTTCTTTTTCATGTTTGATTTCTTCTTTTTGTTCAGAAATACACACAACAGCCGCATCTTCTATTTTATGTTGCCTGGAAAACATAATTAAATACTAAGTCATTTATCTCAATAAGCACTTTACTACTAGGGGAAAAAAAAAAAAAAACAACTCACTGCCATCCAGTTGGATCCGACTCATAGCAACCCCTCCTTGGGTTTCTGAGGCGGTATCTCTATGGAAGTGGATTGCCCAATCTTCCTTCCAAGGAGTGGCTGGTGGGTTTGAACTGTCAGCCTTCTGGTTAGTGTCAAATGCCTTAGGCACTACACCACCACAGTTCCTTTAGTGCTGAGAGAGTCATAATTACATATTACATAATATAAGATTTAAATATGTTTCAACCATCAGTCATGACAATGTAGGCTTCATAAATAGTTATAAGGATATTGCGCTGTTAAGATTTGGGAGGGCATTTTCTTATTTTAAATTATCCAAGAAATAAAGGGATCTTTGGAAACAACATATCTAATAAGGGTCTAAACTCTAAACTTCAACAACAAAAAGATAAATAATCCAATGAAAAACTGGGCAAAGGACATGAATAGACCCTCAGCAAAGAAAACCTTCAGGTGGCTAACAAAAACACGAAGAATTGCTCATGATCATTAGCTATCAGAAAGACGCAAATCAAAACTACAATGAGATATACCATCTCACCCTGTAAAAACAGAACTTATTTTTTTAAAAAAAGAGAGAAAACAACAAATGCTGGTGAGGTTGTAGGGAGACTGGAACTCTTACACACTGCTGGTCAGATTGTAAAATGGCACAACCACTATGGAAAATAGCATAGCACTTCCTCAAAAAGCTGGAAATAGAAATACCTTAAACCCAAACCAAACCCACTGCTGTGGAGTCGGATTTGACTCATAGTGACCCCTCCTTGGGTTTCCAAGACGGTATCACTACGGAAGTAGATTGCCCAACCTTCCTTCCAAGGAGTGGCTGGTGGGTTTGAACCGTCAGTCT